CTCTGCCACTGAAAGTGTGCAACAAGCATCATTCTTTTTTATAAAGTTAAATTTTAAATATAATTCAAAAGAGAACACCTCTTTTGAAGATCTGAATACAATTGAAATTAAAAAAATAGCTGTGATTAAAAGAATTAAAAAGTTACGGATTGAAAAGAAAAGGACTTTAACATTGATGCAATATTTTACTATAAAAGTTGAATAAAACAATTTCAATCATTTAAAATACATTTACAGCATATCTGAGTCATGGTAGAGACATAATTAATGTGAATTGTAACTGTGAAAATGTCACAAGCATTTTCAAACCACTGAAATCTATACTATAAACATCTAACACCTTAGTGAAAAGTGCTGTGACTACTGTCAGTGGGCGATATAGTCAGGTATCATTTTAACAATTAGATTTAAAATTTCAGTATGAGCAGTCACTCTTTTCAGAGAGATGTGGAAAAGTTCTGAAATTAAAGTATGAAAGAATTTGAAAACTTTGTTACAGCTGTTATTGCTTTTCATGTCAGTGATCTTGATTACTATAATGAATATGATCATCAGAAGATCATCAAAGCCGTCACTCATTTCAATGTTGAAATGCAACAATGTTGATATCAACATACACATGATATGTGAATTTTGCCATCATGGGAAGAATTTGTTAGCTGAATGCAATGTCAAGTCACTAATTCAGATAAAAGTTTTAAATAGACAGTACTGAAAAATAACGCAACAAAAAGATCAGACAATTCAACAATTTACTTCATATTTACAATCAATTGAAAGATATCTGCAGCATTTTTATAGCAAATATCGTTGAAAATCACATTTTTATATAAAAGTTCTATCTTTCATACACTGAGAATTTGACAAATACAAAATCAAACTAGAAGAGCTAAGCTATGATGCCACTCTTTATAAAATTAACAATGACAGAATCAAATCTGTCAGAAAAACAGAAGAAATTTAAAGAAAAGTCAAATTTTAAAAACCTCATTTAAAACTTTAACAACAGAAATAATACTGATAATAGATTATAAAATAAATATAAATGAAATGACACTCCAAAATCCGACAACTCCATTTGATCAAAATATTGCTGTTATTGCAAGCGATCAGAACATACCATTGATTCATGCTTTAAATGATTAAAAGATGAATTCATGAACATCAAATCAGACTTAAAAACTGATGCAAAAAAACATAAGAATTCAAAAAATTCAAAAAATGTTTAAAGCATATCATTCAGCTTGCAATATCAGTTATAAATGCGGAAAGTTGATGTAAAAATGTCTTAAGCTTCCCTGTCACAATGGAAATCATTACATTTAAGAGTCTGCAAAAAGTGTTTGCATTAGTAAACTCTGAGTTAAAAGTGAATTGTGTTGACGAATTTTGAGCAAAGAATCACAATTTAGAAGCTGTTCATTGCAAAATCAAGATGATTAAATTGATTGATGAATGCATAATATGTTTTTTTGAAAAGTATAAATTGCAATTACTGTCATTGATCATAAAAGTAATGCACAGCAGATATCTCATTTCATTCATGCAATGAAGATGAAGAACTACAATCTTGTATCAGAATTTCTTTAATTAACAAACAAATCCTTTAATAGATTGATCAGATTGACAATTCTTCTTCAGAAGCTTTGAAGATGAACAACAATTTCTAATTATTTCTGAATAAAATATTTTAACTGAAGTTCTTACAGAAGCTAGAGTAGAAATGCTTGTAATATTATTTATAAAATGTTCAAAAGATTCAAAACATGCTTCATATATATTCTCAGCTGTGTATTTGAATTTACTGACTGATCTATCTGATTATGTTATGCCATACACACGTATCTTCTCAGAAGAAGCTGCTATAAGCATGTAAAAATTTAAAAAAATGAAACATTGCATAGATTTCAAATCTGATATACTGTAATCTTTATTTATATCAATATACAATCTCTCTGAAAACTGAGTTAGCTATTCTAAGAGAATACAATTATTCAGTAGCTCAGCTGATGAATCAATTCTTTTTATTTTCAAAAACAAAATAGTAGACTCCATTTCTATATAGACTATTGAGAATTAAATTGAATCATCATCAAAAATTGATACCCTCTATCTCTAATAAATGAATTATTTGATAGACTTTCAAGAGTCAAGATATTCACTAAGCTGAATCTTTGAAATGCCTACCACTGCATATTTATAGCAGTAAAAGACCGTTGAAAGACAGTCTTTAGAATGAGATATGAACATTTTGAATATGTAATTATATCATTTGAATTAGCTGATACTTCAGTGACATTTCAAACATACATTAACAATATCTTGTCCGATTTGTTGAATATATATCGTGTTGTTTACTTGGATGACATTCTCATATTCTTCAATTTAAAGCAGAAATATAAAGTGTATGTTACTAAGGTGTTAGAACATCTTGAGCATATGAATTTATTTACAAAACTCTCTAAATGGATAAAATCTCATTTCTGAGATTTGTTATAGATACAAATGATGTTGAGATGAAGTTAGACAAAGTCTTCATTATTGTGAAATGATCTACATTTAAATCAATTAAAGAGGTTCAATTCTTTTTGAGCTTTACTAACTTCTATCAATGATTTATTAAGTCCTTCATTGCAGCCTTATTATTCAAACTTACAAAAGAGAGTAAAAAAAAGGGAAAGAAAAGCCACTTTCATATAGAAGGTATTCAAAGCACTTTCAATGAGCTCAAATCACACTTTATACATGCTTCTTTATTAGCTCATTTTGACCCAGCTCAGTGTATTCAGATTGAATTTGATCTGTCGACTTTTACAATCATTGCTATTTTGTCACAATTGTAGAATAATGAGCACTGACATTCAATTGCCTTCTGATCAAGAAAGTTGATTGATGTGAAAACATGCAGTACTTTATGATGATTAAGAAATTGAACAAATGTCAGATCAGATGAATGAAAGCTTTATTTGTTTATAATTTTATATCACTGCATCATTTTGAATTAAAGAATTCAGCTGATGAGCTCAGTCATTATGTAGATTACAATGAAGTCTATAATAATCAAATTATATTATCTACTCTACAACAGAAGCTGAAACATGAAGTAAATTAGATTGAAAAGTTGATACTTCTTTTCAAAATGATATTTCTTCTGATGTAATCTGTGCACGGATTTTTAATGAGCAAAATGCTTCTTTTAATGAGTGAAAAGCACTTCATATATCAATGTTTTATACCTCTCATGTAAACTCTTCCCCTCTGTTGTGCATTGAGCAATATATGCTCTGAATTGCATCCAATAAGATTATTTTTGAGAACTCAGTATATACAGAAATGTCTGAAACCTTCATTTTATTTTTAAATTAAATATAAAAAATTGATTCTTTTACTGTTGAGTAAAGAGAAAAAATAAAGAAGAAGAGTATAACTGTCATTGAAAATATATTATAAATAATTTCTGAGAATGATATATTGCATGCTGATAGTCGCATGTATGTCCCTCAATAAAAAGCACTGATTAATGAAATTATCAATGCAAATCATGATGATCTACAAGAGGGTCACTTTGATATAAAAAAGTTCATAATAGCATTCAGAACAAATATTATTGATATGAGTTAATTAAAAATGTTAAAAACTATATATTCATTTATAATGCTTGTTAAAGTCAGAACATCACAGACAATATGAAGAGTTGAATATAATGTTTTTATCATCAAATTTTTTTGAATCTGTTATTATAAATTTTATTACAGATTTGTCAGCCTCTACATTCTTCCATCAAATCTATGATGTGATTTTAGTGATTGTGAATATATATACCAAGTTCACAATTCATATTCCTTGCATCAAAAACATTACAGCTGATGAACTAGCAGAAATTGTTTATATCAAGTTTTATACAATTTATGGAGTATTTAAAAACCATATATATGATCAAAAATTGCTGTTTACAAGCCATTATTGGTTCATCTTTTGTTACATGTTAGACACACTGGACTTTCAACAGCCTTTCACTCTCAAACACATGATCAAACAAAATGACAGAATCAAATTTTGAAACATTATTTTTAATACTTTATCAATTATCATCAAAATGACTGAGCATGCTGATTACTGTTGATGCAGTTTGTTTATAATACCTTTCAATATACTTCAATCAGAATGGCATCTGCAAAAGTCTTAATGAGATATTGATCTGGTTTAAAAATTAATATCAGCAAATCATCACAACGGGGCGGCATACATGCTGCTAGCTGTGCGAAACATATCAAGAAAACACATCACAAGTTTATTGAGAATTTACAAAAGATACAAAGCACAGAAAACTTATTACAATGCAAAATATAAATTTCAACAATTTAAAATAAATGATTATATCATACTCAATGCAAAAAATCTTTGATTATTACACTTATTTTATAAACTCAATTATAAATATGTTGAACTTTTCAAGATTCTGAATATCATCAGAAAATACATATATAAATTGAAATTGTCATTTTCATATAAAAGCATTCATTCTGTATTTCATGTATCTTTATTAAAACCATACAACTGCAGAAATGAAGCTTTATCAGAATCAGAATCAGAATTTAACAACAATGAAAAAAAAATATGAAATTGAGAAAATTTTTAAAAAACAACAATGAAAAAATAAACCTTCAGAATATCTTGTGAGATGGACAAATTGAAAATTTAATGATGATATATGAAAATTAAAAGAAAATATACAGAAGCCGCTGCAAAAAATTTTGTCTCGCCAAGATAATTAAAAAACCGCTATATTAGATAGTGAGCACCACCACAGTATTAAAATGTAATAAAACTACCCCTCATTTAAAATATAAGAGGCTCCCACCTAGTTTTTATTGCCTCAGTTTGTTATCTTTTCATCATCAGTGCTGCTTTCAATCCTGGCTTCCAATACTGATATCGCCACTCGGGCGCTCGTGGTGGCTCTCAAATCACCTTATATTGCAAAAACTACCACTGAGATCATGAATATTACAAATCTCTCTGCTCGCCAAATCAACCATATATATGCCAGAGCTCTTGAACGTGGCTTCAACCCTGATCTCCTCTATCTTACTATCCGTGATGAATTCCTTCAAGATGCCCCCCGCAGTGGCAGACCTACAAAACAGACTTCTTCTATTCGAGAGCAAGTATTAGCGAAGGTGCGCTGAAATCGATATGGACGGGAGAAATCCTGTGCTGATATTGCTCTTGAACTCAGTGAGGAGGGCTTTAATATTGCACCCAACACTGAGATCTTGCGAAAAGCAGGCATGAAAAAGACCAAACCTACTCGAAAACCTGGCTTGACCAATAAAATGAAACATGAACGACTTCAGTGGTGTTTAAATCATCAAGATTGGACTCTAGAAGATTGGAAAAGAGTTATATGGTCAGATGAGACATCTGTTATATTGCTTCATCACTGTAGAGGATATCGAATTTGGAGAACCTCCAAGGAAAGATTTTCTCGAAGTTGCATACACGAGCGATGGAAGGGGTCTTCAGAGTTCAAATTCTGGGGTTGTTTCTCATATGATAAAAAGGGTCCCTGTCACTGCTGGAGTCCGGAAACTGCTCAAGAAAAGGCTCAGTCAGTAAAGGATATAGATTCTCTTAATGAAATGATGGAACCAATCAAGAAAGCAGAATGGGAGCTTCAAAATAGAATACGATGTTTAAACCTTCATCAACTGCCAGGACCTCAACCAATATGGAAGTGGAAGAAAGAGACAGGCAAGCTATCCCGTGGCAAAAGTAATGGAATTGATTGGTATCGATATCAGGTCAAAATCCTTCTTCTAAAGCTCTTTCCCTTTGCCAATGAGTGTGAAAAAGAACGTCCAAATACCATTGTCCGGGAGGATCGAGCTCCTGCTCATGATCACTATATCTAACATCATATATATGAGATTTATCACATTCAACGGATGCTCTGGTGTGCGAATTCCCCAGTTCTCAATATGATTGAACCTGTTTGGACCTGGATGAAATGAAAAACAACTGTCAAAGGAGCTCCACAAAACCGGGCAGCAGCTATAGCAATATGGGAAAAAACATGAAGGGATCTACCACAGGAGCAGATTCAGGCTTGAATAGAGCGGATTTCTGTTCATATTAACAACGTTATAGAGTTGGAAGGTGGCAATGAATATAAAAAAGGAAGACTTCACTAATTACACTGTAACTTACTTATTAATTTGAATGATAACAAAAGAATGAGATACAGGATCTTTAGTATTAATTTCAGTGTGTATTTCAGAAGAAAATTGTAGCGTTTTTAGTGCTTAGTAGGGCGAGACAAAACTTTTTGCAAGAGCATCATTGGACATTCAGACATTTAAAAATTTTTCCAAATAAAAAAATGAATGACAAAATAAAATCAATATATTTTCAAACATTAAAAGCACAAATTCGCAGCTGAAAAACATTAAAAGTATAAATTTCAAATCAAAAAAATATTAGAAGTGCAAATCTCAGCTGAATTTCAATTAAATGCATTTTTCAGAAAGATTTTAACAAAAAAAATTAATTTAAAAATGAAAAAATCGCGGTAGAAAAGTAACAAATTTTGATGATGATTAAATTTAAAAAGAAGAAAAATTTTCAAAAAAAAAAAAAAAAAAATTCTTTTTACTTTTCTGCATGCAATCTCTAATCAAAGAACTCATCAATTTTATTTTATTAAAAAATTGATAACAACATATATGTAACGGGCGTACATCGATTAACGATCTAGCACTATCCTAAATACAGATTACGAATTGATTAAGGAAAGAAAGAGAAAAGAGATCAGAAGGAAAGGTTGTACGAAGGGGGTTCTTATAGAGGGGAGATCGGGGCGGAAGAATATCAGAAGCCGCCCCGCAGTGGAGCACGGAGCGGAAGAACATTGAGGGTTACGCGGAAGAATCGTTACAACTACGCGACTACGCGGGCGCGGAGCGTGAGGCAAAAGGGGTTGGTTGCGTAAGTTAACCACTAACGGGTGCTAACCCGTCATAATAGATACAAAGTATCTAAAGAATGTGATCAATATACTGCTATCAATAAATGACATTTATGATATGGAAATGCAAATATTTATTAGCAAGCAATCTATATAAATTGCTGAGAGCAGCTTTTATAAAAAAGAGAAGCAATTGTAATACACTCATTTATTATTTTTTTATTATATTATCTTTACTTATTCTTATCTCTTTCCATTATATTCTCACTATTGCTATTTTTATGTGTATATATATATAAATGTATGTATTTTGCACATCTTCTTTTCTCTTTTTCTTCTTAATGATTAACTATTATTATTACTACTACTACTATTATTATTACTACTACAATTATTATTGTTATTATCATTCACTACACTCTCTATTATTTTCTATTATTCACTCTTCACACTGTCATCACCGCTCACAAGTATATAAAGCAATATGATTGTGTAATATAATGATGAAACCAAAATTCATTACAGCAAAGAACTCCTTGTCTATCAGAGTAGATAATTGTGAAAGGTGATGACAGTGTGAAGAGTGAATAATGGGAGATAGTAGATAGCATAGTGGATGATAATAACAATAATAATTGTAATAATAATAACAGTAGTAATTGTACCTAATCACTGAAAAGGAAAAGAAAGAGAAAAGAAGATGTGTAAAATACATACATTTATATATATATATATACATATAGAAATAGTAGTAGTGAGAACATAATAGAAAGAGGTAAAAATAAGCAAACATAATATATAAGAAAACAATAAGTGAGTGCATTACAATTGTCCCTCTTTTTTGTAAGAGCTGCTCTCAGTGATTTGTAAGAGTGCTTTGCATTTAGCTTGCTTTAGTTTTAGTTCTTGTTTTTATTTTTAGTTTGTTACTTTTGCTTTGAAATTTATTTCATTTTTGTAAGGCGAAGCGACGAACCACTTCATACGGTGGGAAGCCACCTTCCTCACGACCTTGGACCCCCCTTCCGCTACACCCAAAAAGCCCTTAGGCTTCCACCGTTTGAAAGCCCTCTCTCCCATCCCACTTGCCATCGCCCCTGCCAACGGCCAGTTCGCGCCTTCCTCTAGCCGTCCTACCTCCCCAGCTCCTGCCCAAAGCCACCACAGACCCCCCCCCGCCCCAAGGCCACGTCGCTTGACTACTGTCGACGACCGACCGATCCACAACAACGCGTTGGATCCCCGCCTCCATTTACCACCAGGACGCCACCCACCGCTTGTTATCGCCCCAAACCAAGCCAACCCATTCAGTCTCGCGTCGACGACCACACCCCCACCGTCAACAACCCTGCACGCCCAAGGAGAACGTGCCTGCCCCCGAGCCCGTAACAGCCAACCCCACGCCTGAGCAAGCAGACATGATGGCCTCCAACACCCCCGCCCCAACCAGCGACGCCGGATTCACAGCTCGCCAACAACAACAGCTGCAACAAATGATAGCTGAAGCGATCGCCAGTATCCCCAGGGATGGCGGACCTCCCGGACCACCCGGCCCCCCCGGACCCCCCGGACCCGCGGCGAAACCTCAGGACCCTGATGCCCCCTACACCGGGCATTGGAAGCCCGACGATCTCGGATTCTTTGACCCAAACCTTGACGACAAGGACGCCATAGGCACCGGAGACATAGTATACATCGGCAACCACCCCTACTACCGGGACGTCCACCTGTTCACCGCGCGCGTCAAAGACGTAGCGCGCACCAAGGGCGAAGAGGCTGTCCGCCGTAACCTTACCACATGCCTCCGCGGCACCGCGCTCGAATGGTACACAGCAGAGCTAACGGACATCGAGAAGGACTTCATGATCGAAGTCGATATCTCCCGGGGATGGATCCCCAGCCTCACCAAACGTTTCCAGCAACGCGCCACACAGGCATGGACCGCCATAAAGCGCGATAGCTACACCCTAAAGGACGCGTCCGAAGGCCGCTCTGTCCGCTCTTACTGCCAAGCCATCTTCCGCAATGCCAAGAGCGCAGGAATCTCCGACACCGCCGCCCAGCTTACGGCCGCTTACTCCAACATATACTGGGAGTTCCGCGCCCAAATCACAGAACCCACCCCAGCCACCTCCATGCAGGATTTCCTCCGCGAGGTCGAAGGTAAGCAAACGATCTGGGAAGATATGGCAAGGAGTCGCCTCCGGCTTCTGGCGGGCCCCTCCTCGCCTTTCCCCTACCGCGGCAGAGGCCGTGGACGCTACCCCTTTGCTCGCCCGCACGGCTACAGTCTCGAGCCTCGACGCGGAGCATACGGACAATACAGCGGTCGTGGCACATACGGACAGTATAACCGCCCCCAGGGAGACTTCCGCACCGTCACCAGCCAAGGCCCTGCCACCGGCCAACAACCGCAACCCGGATACTCGCAAGGCTTCGAACAGGGCGTACAACGCGCCATGCAAAACCTCCAATACCAACTGCAACGCCAACAGCAGCAGGGCAACCAAGCCCCCAGCCAGCCTGACCTTAAAAACCCGGAACCTCAACTCCTCCTCACAGCCCCACCACGAGGGAACTTCAACAGGCCTAAAGCATACAATAACCACCCAGCAAGATACAAGCCCAGACGCAGCCGAGGAACAAGACGACCAACAAGACGCACTTTACGGCAACCCCCGAGGACGATGTGCACACAGGCGGCAGCTACGAACCCCCCTACTTCCGCGCCGATGGATACTACGTCGACGACATCGCCGACAACGACGAGTGCCAAACCACTCCTTTTCACTAGCCGATGATGCCCCCAAGGCGGAGGGTCAACAGCAGGAAGCTGTCAGCACATTTATGCATAATGACCATATCCTTATTGTCTCCTGCAAGCACTGTAAAGCATCCTTTACATCGAACACCAAGTTACACAAGCATATTCGCCAACTATGCTGTTCCCCAAGTCCTATCATTACCAACGCCAACACCGCTACACCCCACACTCCCAAGCTAATCTCATCCAATGCCCCTCCCCACACCGACGCACCCGGCTCCGCCTTCCGCTCCTGGCGTTATATCACGGCGTCAGTTTACATCAAGGACCCTACCAAGCTAACCTCAATCTGCCTCGACTCCGGCTGCACGATGAGCTCCGTCAGCAAAGACTGGGTGCTTGAACAGCACCCAACGATCACCCTTCTCCCTTCAGACCTCATCAAGATCAAAGGCCTAGGCGACCAGCTCCACGACTCTACTGAATATGTGAACCTGCCAATTCACCTACCCGGCAAGGACCCCAACGACAACCCAGTCACAGCCAGAATTACCCGGGAGGTTCACATAATAAAAAACACATCTGCAATCCCACTAATTGGTATCGACATTCTCGGGCCTGAAGGCTTCATCCTAGACCCCCAGCGCCGGATAGCCACCATCCGCGCCTGCGGCGACACTGTCATCCCTATATCCGTCACTCCAAAGCCCCACCGCAAGCCCGACCGCCCCATATACTCCGCGCACACCCTCACGGTCCCCGCACAGTCATACGCCCTCGTCCCCATATCATACAGAGGAACACTTTTCCCCGACCGTGACTACATGTTCACCCCGCACCATTCCACCGCCACTCTATTCGCCGCAATCACCGACAGTCAGTTCCAAGCTGTCCCCATCCAAAACGCGAACCCCAGGCCGCTCACGATCCCCGCCAGGACACGACTCGGCACCCTCGGCGATTATGACATGACAAACGAAGTCAGAGTCTGCCAAGCCGACGCCCTGGCAGCCTACTCCAGCAGGCCAGAGCCCTCCAACCCCCTCCGTACCGAACATCTGACCACCAGCGGTACAACAATCTACGGCGACGACAACACAGCAGCACGCCTAGCAGAGGTTCTCCAAAGATACAACATCTGGAATGACAAGGGCAACATCGCCAATGTCTCCCCCGACAGATGGATGCGAATTCCCCTGCACAAGGACTGGCGCAAGGACTTCAGGAAAGCCAAAGTTTACCCCCTATCTCCCAGGGATAAGGACATTGTTGATTCCACTTTCGACGAACTACACACCCACGACCGCATGGGATGGACCACGGAGCACACCCCATTCGGCGCGCCAGTCTTCGTGGTATGGCGAACCGTTTTCATCCACGGTAAACCGATAGAGAAAGGTCGTGTAGTGATCGACATCCGAAACCTCAACAAGATCACGGAGAAAGACAATTACCCTATGCCTCGCCAAACTGACATCCTCAACGCCCTCATCGGCAAGAAGTTCATCTCCGTTATCGACGCCACCAAATGGTTCTATCAATGGCGTGTACACCCGGACGACCAGCACAAGCTGACCGTCATAAGCCACCGCGGTCAGGAGCACCTTAAAGTCGCTGCCATGGGTTTCTGTAACAGCCCCCAACATGTACAACGCCAAATCGACTACGAGCTCCGTAAGCACAAGGATTACGCCAAGGCATACATCGACGACTTGGTAATCTTTTCCGACAACCTCGAGAGCCACATCACACACCTCAACGCCGTCTTCCTGACTCTCGAGAACCTAGGCGTAGCCCTAAACCCCGAGAAGTCTTATATCGGATTCCCCACAGTCACCTTGCTCGGACAGCGCGTATCGTTGGGTGCTGTTCAAGCACCCAGTCTTTGCTGACGGAGCTCATCGTGCAGCCGGAGTCGAGGCAGATTGAGGTTAGCTTGGTAGGGTCCTTGATGTAAACTGACGCCGTGATATAACGCCAGGAGCGGAAGGCGGAGCCGGGTGCGTCGGTGTGGGGAGGGGCATTGGATGAGATTAGCTTGGGAGTGTGGGGTGTAGCGGTGTTGGCGTTGGTAATGATAGGACTTGGGGAACAGCATAGTTGGCGAATATGCTTGTGTAACTTGGTGTTCGATGTAAAGGATGCTTTACAGTGCTTGCAGGAGACAATAAGGATATGGTCATTATGCATAAATGTGCTGACAGCTTCCTGCTGTTGACCCTCCGCCTTGGGGGCATCATCGGCTAGTGAAAAGGAGTGGTTTGGCACTCGTCGTTGTCGGCGATGTCGTCGACGTAGTATCCATCGGCGCGGAAGTAGGGGGGTTCGTAGCTGCCGCCTGTGTGCACATCGTCCTCGGGGTTGCCGTAAAGTGCGTCTTGTTGGTCGTCTTGTTCCTCGGCGGCGTCTGGGCTTGTATCTGCGGGGTGGTTATTGTATGCTTTAGGCCTGTTGAAGTTCCCTCGTGGTGGGGCTGTGAGGAGGAGTTGAGGTTTCGGGTTTTGAAGGGCAGGCTGGCTGGGGGCTTGGTTGCCCTGCTGCTGTTGGCGTTGCAGTTGGTATTGGAGGTTTTGCATGGCGCGTTGTACGCCCTGTTCGAAGCCTTGCGAGTATCCGGGTTGCGGTTGTTGGCCGGTGGCAGGGCCTTGGCTGGTGACGGTGCGGAAGTCTCCCTGGGGGCGGTTATACTGTCCGTATGTGCCACGACCGCTGTATTGTCCGTATGCTCCGCGTCGAGGCTCGAGACTGTAGCCGTGCGGGCGAGCAAAGGGGTAGCGTCCACGGCCTCTGCCGCGGTAGGGGAAAGGCGAGGAGGGGCCCGCCAGAAGCCGGAGGCGACTCCTTGCCATATCTTCCCAGATCGTTTGCTTACCTTCGACCTCGCGGAGGAAATCCTGCATGGAGGTGGCTGGGGTGGGTTCTGTGATTTGGGCGCGGAACTCCCAGTATATGTTGGAGTAAGCGGCCGTAAGCTGGGCGGCGGTGTCGGAGATTCCTGCGCTCTTGGCATTGCGGAAGATGGCTTGGCAGTAAGAGCGGACAGAGCGGCCTTCGGACGCGTCCTTTAGGGTGTAGCTATCGCGCTTTATGGCGGTCCATGCCTGTGTGGCGCGTTGCTGGAAACGTTTGGTGAGGCTGGGGATCCATCCCCGGGAGATATCGACTTCGATCATGAAGTCCTTCTCGATGTCCGTTAGCTCTGCTGTGTACCATTCGAGCGCGGTGCCGCGGAGGCATGTGGTAAGGTTACGGCGGACAGCCTCTTCGCCCTTGGTGCGCGCTACGTCTTTGACGCGCGCGGTGAACAGGTGGACGTCCCGGTAGTAGGGGTGGTTGCCGATGTATACTATGTCTCCGGTGCCTATGGCGTCCTTGTCGTCAAGGTTTGGGTCAAAGAATCCGAGATCGTCGGGCTTCCAATGCCCGGTGTAGGGGGCATCAGGGTCCTGAGGTTTCGCCGCGGGTCCGGGGGGTCCGGGGGGGCCGGGTGGTCCGGGAGGTCCGCCATCCCTGGGGATACTGGCGATCGCTTCAGCTATCATTTGTTGCAGCTGTTGTTGTTGGCGAGCTGTGAATCCGGCGTCGCTGGTTGGGGCGGGGGTGTTGGAGGCCATCATGTCTGCTTGCTCAGGCGTGGGGTTGGCTGTTACGGGCTCGGGGGCAGGCACGTTCTCCTTGGGCGTGCAGGTTGTTGACGGTGGGGGTGTGGTCGTCGACGCGAGACTGAATGGGTTGGCTTGGTTTGGGGCGATAACAAGCGGTGGGTGGCGTCCTGGTGGTAAATGGAGGCGGGGATCCAACGCGTTGTTGTGGATCGGTCGGTCGTCGACAGTAGTCAAGCGACGTGGCCTTGGGGCGGGGGGGGGGTCTGTGGTGGCTTTGGGCAGGAGCTGGGGAGGTAGGACGGCTAGAGGAAGGCGCGAACTGG